TATAATCAATGGTTTGATTTAAGTTATTTTTTAAATAAAAGCATTCTTTGGGACCGGCATTTGTTTGATTGCAGTCGTGTTATTCAAATGCGACAAAACATGGAGTGTTGTCTTCTTCGTAATAGGGCTGGGATTGAATGGTAGCTCTTACTCGGGATTTCTGGCCAATTATGTAGACATGGCACCCGATTTTGCTGGCATTCTCATGGGACTCACTAATGCTTTTGGAAACATCCCGGGATTTATAGCACCACAAACAGCATCTTTAATATATGCCAATGGAGTAATCAATTCTTATAAATCATTTTTATACATAAAGTTAATATAACCTTGTATTCATTTATTCAGCAAACCCTTAAGAGCTGGTCCCATGTCTTTTATACGTGTTCTGGAGTTTACTTCTTCACTGCCATTATTTATATCCTATTTTCTACATCAGAATTACAAACTTGGGGTTTGGCTAAAAAGGATGATAACAAAGACAATAAAATTAATAAATTATAGTAATTATCGGTAATAATTATTTTATAAATTTATATTAGATTCTAGTTTGTTTAAATAGCTAAGCGTGAGGATTTGTTTAGAATTTTTTAATTTCTACAAACAATTTTAATTTATAAATATTTTTTATAATAAAATGTTTAGTTAAATTTACTCCATAAACGGTAATTATATAAAGATAACAATTAAATTATTATGTTGAATATCTTAATCTATTTATCACAATTATTAAAATGTTTATAAAAAATATTCTCATAAAAAGATTAGAGAATAATAATTAATAATTTTCATATGTTTTATGACATCAATTAATTCATAACTTCATGAAANTGGACAGACAGACAGCTCCCGTACACTCTTGCAATTGATCCGTTACTTTACTCTTTATATGCAAGTGTCGACTCCATCTTAACATCTCGTATCTTGAGTTCAACAAAACAATGTCCTCGATGTCAACGCCGCTTCCCATTGCAATGCCTTTCATTTCATTGAGACCGGACGGGTAATACTTCTCCAATGCATTCATGTAGTGACTGTTGATATATTTGCACACTTTGTCCCAATCGGGCAAAACACCAGAATTCTTGTAGAAATTAATATTTGAGATAATTTTCTCTTTGGTTTGCTGTCCATAACTTCTGCCTCTCGTAAACGGATTGCCTCTAACTATGATGTGTGAATAACTTTCCTTAACATTAGCCGTCATTTTAAAGTATATTTCCTCTTAATAATATATTTTATAAAATATACTTGAATTAAAAATTATTTATTTACTGCACACATACGGCTAAGACTTGTATGAGTTTATTGGGGAAACATTTTATTGATAATTATAAGATACTATTTAACACAACGAGTCCGCAGTATTTCGGCGAAACTTTTATTATTATGCAGATTATAATTAACCAAAGAACAGTTATATTCAGTTAATAATTACTAATCTATTTGTAATATAAATTTATTTTTATGATAAAACACTGAATGAAAGAAAGTTGTGTTAAATAGTATCTTATAATTATCAATAAAATGTTTCCCCAATAAACTCATACAAGTCTTAGCCGTATGTGTGCAGTAAATAAATAATTTTTAATTCAAGTATATTTTATAAAATATATTATTAAGAGGAAATATACTTTAAAATGACGGCTAATGTTAAGGAAAGTTATTCACACATCATAGTTAGAGGCAATCCGTTTACGAGAGGCAGAAGTTATGGACAGCAAACCAAAGAGAAAATTATCTCAAATATTAATTTCTACAAGAATTCTGGTGTTTTGCCCGATTGGGACAAAGTGTGCAAATATATCAACAGTCACTACATGAATGCATTGGAGAAGTATTACCCGTCCGGTCTCAATGAAATGAAAGGCATTGCAATGGGAAGCGGCGTTGACATCGAGGACATTGTTTTGTTGAACTCAAGATACGAGATGTTAAGATGGAGTCGACACTTGCATATAAAGAGTAAAGTAACGGATCAATTGCAAGAGTGTACGGGAGCTGTCTGTCTGTCAAAAGCTACCAAATCAGGTGAAGTACTGATCGGACAGAATTGGGACATAAATGAGAGGATACTAAACGATGAAATCGGAGTCTTATTGGAAGTACATCCGGACGCCACGGAAAATATCGCCCCATTCTTCATGCTTACTGAAGCCGGACAGTTGGGAAGGAGTGGTATGAATGCCAATGGGTTAGGTACTGGATCATTTTTTAAAAATAAGTCAAATAACCCTGAACTAATGCACTTTTTATAATAGGCATTATAGCAATGGGTTTGTTATCAAGTGAAGATCATTTCTCAGCCACGACAACAACCGGATTCTTACCCATCACTCTATTGAGACGAATGTTCATAGAATCGCCTACTTTTGCGGTGGGCCTCAAACGTATGACATCTGTGCCCAGACATGTGTCCGTCAATATGATTGTAGCGACGGCTGAGGGCGAGGCTATTAATCTAGAGATGACACCAAATCACTGTTTTATGGCTTATCCGAGCATTAAGTCAGAGGTCTATACCCACAGCAATCACTTTAAATCAGATGAATTTATAGCTAATAATAGTGTGAAGGGCGCCAACAAGAGCGGGTCCACACTATTTAGGGACAGACAACTGGAAAGGGGTCTTATGAACGAGTGGCCAAATATTGACGAAAATAGTTTCGTCGATGCCTTCAAAAACCATTTGGGATTTCCTGACGCTTTGTGTCTTCATATTCCAGATGAAGGCAAAGAGCATACGTCGACGTCACCCAAAGAGTGTACGGTCGCCAACATTGTCTTCAATTTGTCTAAAAGGACAGTTAGACTTTGTAAGGGACAGCCCTGTAATGGGGTTTATAAAGAATATGGTTTTAATAATAACACTAATAACATGAATTAAATTTTATAACACAATAAAAACACTATATTGTATAATATTTAGTTATAATATAATTAATTAATAAATTCTTTATTATGTTTTGTGTTTTATTGTTGAATATTGTTTTTAAGGCAATTAATGCAAGTTTAATAATAAGGCATAAACTGCATTATCAAAAGAGTGATGGGTAAGAATCCGGTTGTTGTCGTGGCTGAGAAATGATCTTCACTTGATAACAAACCCATTGCTATAATGCCTATTATAAAAAGTGCATTAGTTCAGGGTTATTTGACTTATTTTTAAAAAATGATCCAGTACCTAACCCATTGGCATTCATACCACTCCTTCCCAACTGTCCGGCTTCAGTAAGCATGAAGAATGGGGCGATATTTTCCGTGGCGTCCGGATGTACTTCCAATAAGACTCCGATTTCATCGTTTAGTATCCTCTCATTTATGTCCCAATTCTGTCCGATCAGTACTTCACCTGATTTGGTAGCTTTTGACAGACAGACAGCTCCCGTACACTCTTGCAATTGATCCGTTACTTTACTCTTTATATGCAAGTGTCGACTCCATCTTAACATCTCGTATCTTGAGTTCAACAACACAATGTCCTCGATGTCAACGCCGCTTCCCATTGCAATGCCTTTCATTTCATTGAGACCCGACGGGTAATACTTCTCCAATGCATTCATGTAATGATTGTTGATATATTTGCACACTTTGTCCCAATCGGGCAAAACACCAGAATTCTTGTAGAAATTAATATTTGAGATAATTTTCTCTTTGGTTTGCTGTCCATAACTTCTGCCTCGAGTAAATGGATTGCCTCTAACTATGATGTGATCGTAACTTTCCTTAACATTAGCCGTCATTTTAAAGTATATTTCCTCTTAATAATATATATTATAAAATATACTTTAATTAAAAATTATTTATTTACTGCACACATACGGCTAAGACTTGTATGAGTTTATTTGGGAAATGCTTTATAGATAATTATAAGATAAGATACTATTTAACACAACTTTCTTTCATTCAGTGTTTTATCATAAAAATAAATTTATATTACAAATAGATTAGTAATTATTAACTGAATATAACTGTTCTTTGGTTAATTATAATCTGCATAATATATACGAATAAATATTACACAGAAATAATAAAAATAACTTTTGTAATAAAACAATAATTTGTATTTCACAAGTCTTTCAAAATTGTTAGTAACTTAATAAAATTTTTTATCAAATATAAAAAACAATTAGGAAGTAAATTTACTATAAAATAATTTTTAGTAATAGAATTGAATATATTAAACATTTTCCTCTAAGTGTTTAGACAATGAAGCAAAAAAAATTATTCCTACAATATTCTTCATTATAATATCCATTATATCATTATATTATATCATTATATCCATCAAGATATTAATCCATAAGAATTAATCATAAAACACAAAATCATTGACCAAATAATTAAATAAAATATTAAAATACAAATTTTAATAATACACTGCTTTTAAATACGTTTATTATTTATTTATAACTATTGACTTTAAGTTTAAATTAAAGATCTTTTATTAAGTAAAGAATTTCAATCAAGAATTCATAGATATATACTACACTATAAAACACACACTAATCCTAATACTAATACTAATATCAAACAAATTGCTATTAAATGCAATGAATGGTGAGTTGAGAGCACTAACAGTAATATGCATTCAAACTGTAAACCATTGGACAGTATTTGACACGACATTCACACCAACACTCAGTCACTCATCCATTAATCCATTCATTGATCCCTTCATTTGGTCACTCATTTGGTCACTCATTGAGTGAATGATCATCGCATTAGCCATGAATTCGTGCGACACATCACCACAATCCGTGCCCTCAACTCCGGACCTCTACGTAGTGTGCAATCCATTGTCCGAATCAATAGTTCCATCCATTGCTGTGTCACAGGAGTCGGAGTCCAGTCAACACGAACACCATTCACACCAATCGGTTGTCACCAAAAGTGACCACAATTTCGACTCAAGTGATGACCAGATTGTGCCACAAATGCCATCTCAGAGCTCAGACGAAGAGTGTGATGAATGGTTGGACACAATCGTGAGTCCCATTGCGAGCGGTGCGGACGTGGCGTCCGATGGGTCTGAAGGGAGTGTGTCATCAGTGGTGACCAATTGGCCACAAATGACCACTCGTTTGGACTCACGTTTGGCCACAAATGGCAACAATTTGCGGGTTTGTGTCAAACGGAAACTCATTTCCAATCGTTTCGACAAAAACACGAAACTCTTGAAGAGAAAGGTCTCCATATTCTACGAGTGGACACAAACCAGTGATAACGACATCCACTTCTTTGTCAACCACTGAAACACAACGACTTCCACTTCAACACATCCACCGCACGGAACCGTTAATCCGTTAATCCTTATCTTAGTCTTAATCCGTGTCTTATAGTCAGCAATGGTTTTGCAATTCATCTCTTAATTTCTGGTTTGAAATGAATTTCGAGTTAATTATCGTTAAATGAGTTTCAAATTGCCATTAATTAGGCATCAGTTAAACGGGGGATTAAACCCTTGACCTCCTAAAGGGGTCCCAATTATCCCTGAATTACCCCGGATATAATTATTCATAAATTACATGATTTTTGTTGCCCCCAAAAGTTATTGCAATATTACGTTACTTTTGTTTTGTCACATGTTTTGTTATTTTGTAAACAAATTTGTTGTTAAATAAAGTTTTGGTTCATTTTATTATTCATTTTTACACTCATTTCACACCAATTATGGCCTCAATTGGTCTGTTGTTGTGCCGAAGATCCACACGAATGGTCTCACAAGTGATGGCCAGAAATGTGGTGAAGACTTGTTGTAAACACAGCGTGAGATCCAAGCAAACGGTGACCCAAATGTCAAAAGAGTTATTCAGACATCAAAGTGAATCAATTGTATTGAACCACAAATGTTGGATCCATTTGTCACCGCAAAGACGCAACCCATTGGTATCTATTGTGATACGTCAAGCGGCAAAGTTTGTGGCGCTTCTCACCGGAAGGTCAGATGGAAATGATTGTCAATCTCTTTGACTCATTGAATGGTTTTATTTGCAGAGCTATGAGGAAGTGGTGGCGAGAATTGCCTCCAAATAAGAGAGAAATAGTGACGAAATGGTTGTCTCGACACAAATGGAAGTTTGGTTTCGCCTTCTTGTCAGCGGTTCTCCTCTCCATTGCCTACTATTTGAGTCATTTAGAGGAGACTCCGATCACAAGACGGAAGCGATTCATAGCCTTCACTCCCAAACAACTCAAAGATCTCAATAACTATGAGTTTGAGGTTCAGTTGGAAACCTATAAAAACAAGTTATTGTCGTCCAGTCATGAGGTGTCCCGACGTGTGGCCCGAGTGGCCACTCAACTGCTCAACGCTAACAACGATTTGCCACAAATCCATGACCACGAGTGGTCGGTGTCTGTGGTCGACGACATCAACCATAAGAACGCCTTTGTTATGCCTTCGGGACAGATATTTGTCTTCACGGGTATGTTAGCCATCTGTGACAATGACCAGCAGTTGGGGTCCGTATTGGCGCATGAGATGGCACACGCCGTGCTCGCACACGGGGCTGAACTCGTAGGCATCACCCCATACACCAGTCTCTTAATATATCTAATTGTATGATCCCTTTCCCCTGAACAGGTCAGTCACGCACATCTCATTGATATGCTCTTCATTTGCTTAATTGGTATCATTTGGACGATACTGCCGACCGATATAACGGCCACTATAACCACTGGTATCTCCCGTCTCATAATGAATGTAATTCTGGACACACCTTACAGTCGGATGCTTGAGACGGAAGCCGATGTCGTGGGCCTGGAGTTGGCGGCCAAAGCATGTTTCGATGTGAGAGAGACCAGTGCTTTCTGGCACAAGATGTCCATCATTGAGAGCACTGAAGGCATTCAATTCAGTTCGGATGACATCAAAATAGCCGTCAAAACAGAGTTTTTGTCGACACATCCGAGCCATGAGACGAGATATCACTATTTGGATAGTCTTATGGACGACGCCATCAAACTCAGGGATAAATGCAATTGTCCTCAACTGCCTAAACACGACCCAAGACTTACCGTTGAATTGCTTAAGAAAAACATTGCAGACTATCATAAGAATAAAAGGAAAGAAGGCGTTCTTATCCTCCCTAAGCCTCCCGTTCCCCAGAATCTTCAGCCGCGCTCTTGAGGTTATCGATGATAATTAGGTTCCAATGAATTGCAAATTATATACATTTTTATTAGATTTTAAATTGTTTTCATATTTATTGAAAATTATTTTGATTGTGCGGTAATGCAAAGTTCATAACAAATATTTCACAATACCGTACAAAATAAGAACACTTCAAAAGTTAAGAAATAGTTTATATAAATGTTAAAAAAGCAATCAAAAGTACAGTATATTAATTAAAAGACATTGAGTCTAATGTAATAAAGTAATCAATTATGATGCAATAAAACAATTATCCTGTAATACAATATTACCGTATACTGTATAGTATTTATAACTTATAAATATTATTGCATTGCATAGGAAATCACTGTTTGTTGAAATTCAGTCTTAAACGAGAACCTCTTCAATCAGTTGTCATCCCAATCATCTTCATGTCCAGTGCAGACACTCTACACTATAGAGTCTACAGCCATGTATAGTATGGAATGGATTGCCTTCATATAAGCCATAACTGTGTTGACCATATCATCCAATTGATAGGACTGGTGGTGAGACAAGTCGATGATTGCATCACAGAGTATGACTCAACTGACTCGCACTTCCATCGGTTGATTGTCTCGCAATTGTTTATTCAGTTTTGGACGAACTGTAGACATATTAATAACAATTTAGCGATAAACCAATGACCAAAATATCACACATTTATTACTAACCTGTATAATATAACCAAGTCAAAAGTTAGTATTAAATCAAATAAAACCAAACAAATAACTGAATAGCCATTGAATTAACGAAAAAACTTCTATGAAATCCAATGCTTTGCCACCAATTGGGTCCGCATTAAGGCGACTGGTCTTCAGGATTGGCGTCGGAAGTACTCAGTCCTGCAATGACTACCTTTCATAGCTATCATCCATACAATGATTGCACAAAACAATCAAATAAATTGGGAAAATTTTAATGCATTTGTAAACTAGTAAATGAATGTTCAAATTGTCGCAAATGATTAACAAATTCTTTACAAATATTATTACAAAAAACAAATCTAAAAGAAAATGAATTTTATAATTAAATTACATAAAAATATACTCTCTTTTAAGTCATCGTTTTAAACATAAATAATAAAAATATATACAAAAATGTATTATAAATAATAATAATAAAGTTAATTATTGTCTAAATATTGTCTAAAACCAGAGGTCGTTGTCCTCATCGTTATGTTCATCAGTGGTTTGCAGATTGGGATTAGAGTCGGAGTCAGAAACCGGCAAATCGTTTGACACATTCATAGCCGACGACTGCGAGGGGAATGGCAGGGAAGGGGTGTAAGCGGCGGACGATTGCGGTTCTGTCTGTGGTTTAGAGAACCGCTCGAACAGGAACTCCGAGGGATCGTAGCTCTCGTCGATCACCTCTTCCTCATCGTTATCGTTGGCCACAATCTCCATCTCTTCGTTATCACTATTTTCGGGACTCATCTCCAGTTCGTGAACCACTGAATGTCTAATGCTTTTGTCGTCCAAAGCATTGGATTCGCTGTTCTCATCGAAATAGTCGACAGCGTTGTCGTCGGTGTCTCTATAGCTCAACGCCGCCGAAGAGGGCGGACGAGTGGACACGTCTTCGGCGCCGTCTTTGGAGAAGCCGGTGATGACGGAGTCGGTGTCGGCGTCTTCGAGCGCCTTCTCCTTGGCGTCGACGATGGCCTGTTCGAGGACTGTCAGCTGCTCGTCATATACTGTGAGCCACTCTTTGGCCGCCTCCAAGATCTCGACCGCCTTCTTCGTGAACTGACTGTCGGCGCCGTTGTATCGCTCGCTGTTCTTCAGTATGAGTTCCACGTCGTCGATGAACTGCTCGCGTGATTGATATTTATGTTGTTTTATGGACTTCTCGATCGACTCGAAAGATCGCGGATTTTCGATGATTTCGTAATAGTTTTTCACAAACTTCTTGTCCACCGGTTTATGGAAAGGCCACGACTCGGGTATTGTCTTCAGGCGTTGGTTCACTATATTCTCGAGTATGTAAGAGAAGGCCACCTATTCGTGTCAATCATATCATTAGTCATACAATCATCGCATATATGAAAAGGAAAGGGAGGACAGACCTGATCGTTGTCGTCGAGCAACGGATTGATAGCCTTCTCGATGCGCATCAACTTCTCCTCCTTCTCTTTGAACCTCTTGAGACACATTTCCATCATTTTCTGTGCCGTAAAAGTGAGCGAATGATTGATTCCGTTGTAAAGCCTCGAGTTCTCGACGATTTGGTTGATGTCTTGGAGGAAGTCGTCTCTACAGGTGAAGCCCTTCTCGCGAATCTTATTACGAATGGTTTGCAAATCCATAGGATTTTTGATGAGTTTGTAATAATCGGGAACCACTTTGGCGTTCACCGGGAGGTGAAAGAGTTGAGTGTCGGGTAAGTCTCGCATCTCATTCAACACTTCCTCCAAAATGCCCGACAGAGTGACCAACGGATCGGTGCGTCTTCTGTTGGCCGACTTGTAGTCGGGTTTCTGGAGGTAATCGCAGTGATCGACAGTCCCAGCCCTGCGCCGCCTCTTCATACTGAGCGCCTGCTTCGGGATCTTCAGCTTCAGAGCCTTACTCTTCACTTCATCCATATGTTTGATGAGTGACTTCGAGAGAACGACTTTGGTTTCGTCCACTTTCACCAAATGGTCTTCATTCAGACCGTGTCTCTCCTCCTCCTGCATCTCCTCCTCAGTCATCGCCACCTGAACCGGAGGTACGATATCAACGCCTTTGAACTGAGGACACGCTCTGTTGGTGCGCATGTGTCCGACGGCCCCACAGGCGCCACACTTCAGCTTAACGTTGATTTCCTTTTCCTTTTTTATTTTCTTCATTTTTGGCTCTTTTGGTGATTTGGTTGGTGTGACGGACGGAGTGGTCGGCGACGCGAAGATTGTCGAGAACTCGCTGCCCATCGACGACGTGATGCCCATCTGTTGTCTCAAACTGTTTGTCAATTTATCCTTTTCCTGATTGCGTTTCAATCGTCGCAACTGTTCCTGAATGCGTCTCTTCTCGCGACGGATCTCCTCCTTCTGCTGATCATCCAAAGCGGTGGCGAATTGTTTGATAAACGCCGCGTCTTTGGTGGTGCGGATGCGGACATAGGTGTCAATGACCGCCGGTTTGCGAACCGTTTCTATGCGAACGTATTCTTTTCCCTCAGAGTTCTGAAACGTTCGGTAAATCTTCAGTATTCGGCCGATAGATGAGCTCAAACTCATGGCATCGTCGGTGTCGTCATCCCTCTCGAGTTTCCTTTTCTTAGACTCTCCCGGATTCGACTCTTCGCCGTAAATCAGTTTCTGAAGCTCTCGTCTCTCCGCCTCTTCCTTCTCCTGTGAGATCTGATGACTGGTCTTCTTGTTCGCGAGCATTGATTCGATATTTTTTCCCATTTCCTCGATGTCTGAGTCCTCCTCTTCGCTCTCGTCCTCATCGGTCGACAACTCCTCTTTGGAAGAGAGGATACGGTTCTGGAGTTCGAATATGCGCTGACATTCCTCTTTGTACCGCTCCTGGTGTTCAGCGATACTGAATCTGTTTCCTCGAGCGAATTTGCTCATAGCGTCGGCCGCCTCTTCGCCCTGTTGTTTGGCCTGTTCTGTGGACAGAGTCCTCACCACATCTATCACTTCCCAACGCGACAACTTCTTTATCTGTTTACCATGAAAAGTCACAACACATTTCATATCAAGAAAATCGACACTCATTTACAGTTTAAACAAATACCTCGTCATCGGGAACACCAAACTTCTTGAGCAACTGTTTCGCTTGATTTAACGGCAGTCGTCTCAGATCGGCATCAGTTCCGGTGACAGTCTTTTTAGGCGCCGCCTCTTTCTGACTCTCTTCCTTCGACTGCTGGGGTTTGTTAGGTATCCGCACGTAAGAGAAGCCTTCGCCACAACCTGTGGGGTCCGCCACACCCGCCAATTGGAGCAGACATTTGCTTTTCATGGCTGATATGAAGGCACGGGTCGTATTCCAAGGGGCGGCCTTCACCTCGTCATCCATTTTCATCTGCACGTCTTCGTCTTCAATGTCTTCGGGAGCGAACATAAACTTCTCGCCATAACCGGCGTCTTTGAGTCGCTGTTCCGCAGCGATCATCGAATAGTAGGCACAACAGGCCTCAGGAGAGACCATCGCACGGATCTCATCCTCAGAGGGAAGTCGGAACTCCGGCTTCAATACCCACCAGTTTGAGTCCATACCTATTGGGGTAAAAGAGTTGAAATATTGCCCAAAAGCAACGATTAGTTACCGTAAGCACAGGAGGACTAGAGTTAAATTGAGCCCAAAAACCATAAGCGTTAGTGAAAAATAGTGCTCAGAGTAACCAATATGTGATACTAACCGGAGATGAACACCACAATTGGAATAATTACCATTACCTGTTCTCTTGAAATCTGCGCACAGCTTAAGCCGTTTACGTATTGAACTCTCCGAGTGAGAGGGGAAAGCCTTCTTTATGTCCTCCATTTTGATACGACGCGGAATGTCTGTGCTCTTCCAAAACAGTCGGTATATAAACACCTATTCAGTCGTTAAGACAAGTAAAGTATCGTTACAACACAATTGCCATCAAAAATATGTTTCAAGTGTTTACTTGAAGGAAATCTCTGATAAAATTGTTAGACTTCTTAGAGTTAGGTCCCGGGACCTCATAGAGGGGCAGTTCCTGACCCACAGTAAAGATGGTCTCCACTTCGCGGACGTGATAACTGTTTCAATACAATATTCAGTGAAACAAGCCTTTCATCAAAAGGCAAAAACAAAACCTTTCTCTGGTTCTGATGATTAAGAAATCTGTTTCAGGCATTTGGTGGTCATAAATGGGCGCTCGGAATAGATTGTTCTCAAAGGCCTGTTGTGACTGACCGGGCGTTAAGTTTCCCAGAAATGGTGAGGTGTGCGCGAAAGCTGTCTCTCCGTACTGATAGTCGGGAGCGCCGGTGTCTTTGCCGGGTTTCTAACAATAGAAATAGAAATTTTATACCTATTTCTAGACTATTTGATAGACAAACCCTTTTATAATAGTTCTTGATTTTGGTGGCCATTCCCACTTGCATGACAAGCGGCGGGTGCTCTTCGGAGAACTCCGAGAGAATCACTTCGCCGTCCTTTCCCGTCAAATCGTCCGGTTTTCTCATGAAAAACATTTCTCCGCCTCCGCTCGCAATCCTTTCCTGTTCTCTCATTTTGGCCTTTCGTTTGATGTGTTTGAGGAGAGGGACGACTCCATGCGGTAATGAGTCGGCCACCGCTCCGTGAGAATAGCGCTTTAGTGTCGGCCTATGAAAAGCGCGAAGTCTTGAGTAACTCAAAAATGTGGGGAAAAATGGTTGACGTAATTCCAGGGCTGGAATGGAGTGTTGTATGAGATTAGCGCCGACGTTAGGCTTTAGGGCCACATCTGTGGTGAGTTTGGGATTATAGTACTCGTCGTTTGATATATTGAAGGGATCCTTCTCTGTATTGGTGGGCGAGGGAGGGCTTATGATCTCGGGTTCGGCGATAACACCCGCTTTGCCTAACAGTAGCCGCGATTTGCGGACCATATCTTTCTTCTCTTTGGGGGCTATACTAGACTTCGTGTGCTCTGCGTTCGGGTCGATGTCATCGGGAATGTCGAGCACTATATTCTCATCGTTCGGATCGAGTGTTAATATTCTCGGTTCCGGCACTTTGTCGATGGCCTCGGGATCCCATATCACTTCATCCTATGTTTACAATTCATTAAAGTAATCATCACTAAAGCAAAGCAATTCATTCATACCTCCCAACAGCCGTAAACGAGTTCCTCGTTCTCAACGGGAAATATTGAATACCAGGTGTTGTCTGGCGGCTCCTGTATCTCAATTTTCTTGTCCCCTTTCTTTCCTATCGTAATATTAGTTTTACTAATCGTTGGCGTCGGCGGTACTGATCCGCGCAAGTGTTGCGTGAAAGCGGAAGCGGTTCTGTTGAGGTTTGACGGCACCCAACCGGCCGCGTGGTTCTTCTCATTCAATTTGGCCAAAATCTTCTGCTTGTGTTCGTCACCGTTCCATATGATGTCGTTTTCCCATTGGATTTGTGTCACCATATGGTAGGCGTCATCCGCGTTCATACTATCGTCTTCATTGTCGCCATTATATGATTCCTCTTCGCTATAATTGTCTCTCTTTCGCACTTTGAAGCCGTAGTCAAACCCGTCGCCATTCTCGGGTACGCTCAGTGTGTCGTACCAGTACTGTGCCGGTCCGTACCGCCAGTCCGCCACCTTCTGGTTCCCATCGTCCTTAAAATCCTTCTCTTGTCGGCCGCTATAGTTCTTCAGCTCCAGAGGCCTCTTAAGCTTCTCTTCGTCGTCCTCTTCGATCAATTCAGGCGGAGGTGTCGGCGCGAAGTTGAGCCGCCATTTAGACTCGTCGTCCGAAGAGTAATCTTCAGATTCGGACTCAATTTTAGGCGTTTCCATCAATTTCTTCTTCTTCTTATTCCTAACATTCTTCCAGAGCTGAGGAAGACTTGAGGGCTTCCCGCGTCCGAACAGACGGGAAAACCTCAGCACTTGATTGGGTCTGAATTCAGGAAAAAGTTCGGTCACATCGAGATCAGCGTATTTCGAGGGCAACATCGCAGCCAAAGGTGTGTCCAGTTTTTTCTGCTTCTGTTCCCCATTTTCTTTGATATCATTATTGTTTGTATTATTTGTATTCAATATCAGCGAAAGGGCCGGTAGGTCTCGTTTGGCGTTTATTTTATCGGGTATTTTGAAGCCATCGCTGTCTAGTTTGGGTTCCGACGCATCGGCGGGTGTGTCGTAATCGTCGTCTTCTTCTAGTTTCACTTTAAATGGTTTTATCGACAGTTTTATCGACTCTTCAAACTTCTTCTCCTCGTCGGCGCTCACATCAAACAACTCATTAATATCGGAGAAATCGATAGCATTCGAAGACTTCTCGTTAAAGTCATCTGCAATTCAATTAAAAACACAAATTTTTACTAAATTAACAAAAATCATAAAAAAAAATAATAATAATATATATATAAACCAATCGTTTAGTAAAAACGAGTTATCTTTCAAAAGATAACACATTTTTATATAAAAAACAAAAATTTAGGGAAAAGTAAAATTAAAAACATTATTATTTTTATTTTCATAATTCGGGAGATTTTCTCTATAAATCTGATTAATCTCTTAATCTTTCTTTTATTTACTGTTATATTAAAAAACAACAGAAAAATCAAATTTTCAAACGAAATAAAAAATGAGAGAAATTTTTCTTTTAATAATTTATATGCAATTAATATATAATTATCTGTATTTACACTGCATTTCAGAAATCAATTCAATTATTGAATTCATTTTTTCTCTGCATTTGATCTCAATTTTGAGGCAAAAAGGAGAGTAAAAAGAAATTGTCTTTTCGTACGCTTTTGTGGTTTAAAGACTTTTTTGGATCAAAACGTAAGAAAAGTTGACAAAAGGGTCAATGAATTGATTTATGAAACGTTCAAAAATCAGATCAAAACTTAAGACTGAATGCAAAGAAACACAGAATCGAGTCATTCATACAGTCATCGGATTTGTTGCCATTTGTGTCACTGTTTGAGTGATGAGATCCCGAAGAGTTGTCGGTATTATTACTTCTTTGTCCAGATTTGGTCTCACAGTCGCCGCCATTCTTACGGCTGTTGTTGTCATCACTTGGTTGGGAAGCACTGGTCTCGCGATTCGCGTCCGACTCGTCTTCGAGACCACTCTCGTTGTCGTCCTCTTCGTCCACGATATCACTCAATGGTATGACAGAGAAGAGGTGCTGTCGAAGAGAATTCAAATGTCTTTTGGAGTTGTCGTCGAAGATATCGTCCAATAGATTGCCGTTTGAGTCGATGTTTCCGAACAGAATTGATGTCAACTTCGATGACAACTCTTCGGCACGTCTTTCACCGCTTCCTTCGCCGGCGTTCACCGACTCGTAGTCTTCGTCCGAAGACATGTCTCTTTAAATCACTTCTCAAGCAATCAATCGATTATCAAATGCTTTCAAAACACAAATAAATAATAAATTAAATGCTTTTAAGAAACACTCGTTTCGTTCAAAACTAGTCGTTCGTCCGAAGACATGTCTCTTTAAATCACTTCTCAAGCAATCAATCGATTATCAAATGCTTTCAAAACACAAATAAATAATAAATTAAATGCTTTTAAGAAACACTCGTTTCGTTCAAAACTAGTCGTCAGACATATTGTTGTTTATATAGGGGTCACACATACACAGCGTTACGTCCCATCACTTTCACGCCCCCTCTCTAATGTGCAATATTATCGTATGCAAGAGATCCGTGATATTCGTTCACAACTATTGTTACGTTATGTTAACGTATGAACTTGATTTAGAAACTTTTGTATCAAGTACAACTTATGTAAATTAGTAAAGTACTTTTAATATTCGTAAGGGTTTCGTTGTTAAAATTGCATCCATTTCATTTGAGGTGATCACATGCTGGATAGTTTACTAAAATGCATTTCTAATACAATCCACTTTAAACCAGTATAAAACATAACACGGATCCAATGAACTTCTTAAAATGATCTGGATTAGGTAGTCGTGTAAATGTCTAAAAATATTCTTAAAAGTATACGATAAATGGTGTTTATTATATTGAATCCTTGGAGGGAATGGGAGTATTGAGTGATTTCATTCATTTTCACACTTATGAGTAGAAAACATCTATATTTCAGTATAAAGTATTTATTTCAGTATGAGCACGTTCAAATACAATATTCATAAATATTAATACAATAATATAATATAATATTAATATATTACAATACAAACATACTTTTAAAAATAAATAAAAATATAACTTGGCACTATAATAGCATTTAGTTAAAATCAATACAATTTTCCAATATATTTGATTAAATATAATTAATATACTAGTCATTTATTTAAAACAAATTAAAACATACAGTACATAGGAGTAGGATTTACTAAAATGTTCAGTAGGTGATAC